CCTATACCAAGCCTAGCGCGTCCCCTATACCCAGCCGAGCACGTCCCCTATACCCAGCCGAGCGCGTCCCCTAAACCAAGCCGAGCGCGTCCCCTTTACCCAGCCGAGCGCGTCCCCTAAACCAAGCCGAGCGCGTCCCCTAAACCAAGCCGAGTGCGTTCCCTGTACCCAGCGGAGCGCTCCCTATACCCAGCCGAGCGCGTCCCCTAAACCAAGCCGAGCGCGTTCCCTAAACCAAGCCGAGCGCGTCCCCTGTACCCAGCGGAGCGCGTCCCCTATACCCAGCCGAGCGCGTCCCCTAAACCAAGCCAAGCGCTTCCCCTGTACCCAGTGGAGCGCGTCCTCTATACCCAGCCGAGCGCGTCCCCTAAACCAAGCCGAACACATCCCCTATACCCAGCAGAGCTCGTCCCCTATACCCAGCCGAGCGCGTCCCCTATACCCAGCCAAGCACGTCCCCTATACCCAGCTGAGCGCGTCCCCTAAACCAAGTCAAGCGTGTGCCCTATACCCAGCCGAGCGCTTCCCTTATACCCAGCGGAGTGCGTCCCCTATACCCAGCTGAGCGCATCCCCTAAACCAAGCCGAGCGCGTCCCCTATACCCAGCCGAGCACTTCCCCTATACCCAGCCGAACGCTTCCCCTATACCCAGCCGTGCGCGTCCCCTAAACCAAGCCGAGCGCGTCCCCTATACCCAGCAGAGCGCGTCCCCTATACCCAGCCAAGCTTGTCCCCTATACCCAGCCGAGCACGTCCCCTATACCCAGCGGAGCGCGTCCCCTATACCCAGCCAAGCTTGTCCCCTATACCCAGCCGAGCACGTCCCCTATACCCAGCGGAGCGCGTCCCCTATACCCAGCCGAGCACGTCCCCTATACCCAGCCGAGCGCGTCCCCTAAACCAAGCCAAGCGTGTCCCCTATACCCAGCCGAGTGCGTCCCCTATACCCAGCCGAGCGCGTTCCCTATACCCAGCCGAGCGTGTCCCCTATACCCAGCCGAGCACGTCCCCGATACCCAGCCGAGCGCGTCCCCTAAACCAAGCCGAGCGCTTCCCCTATACCCAGCGGAGCGCGTCCCCTAAAACAAGCCAAGCGTGTACCCTATACCCAGCCGAGTGTTTCCCTTATACCCAGCCAAGCTCACCTGTACCCTGCTGCACCTGAATATTGTAATCACATGCTCCTAATTAGTCACACATGTACACACCCTTTTCCTTCTTCTCAGCTTTTCTGAGGGGTTCTGTGTTTTTTGCCACTACTGGTCTCCTGGTCTGTCTGTCCACTGGCCTGTTCCTGTTTATTGATTTCTGATTTTGGATATTGTTTACAATACTATTGTACTTTCTGTTTACAGGCCAGTTCCTGTTACTGACTGTGTTTAGACTGCATCTTAGACTCTGTTTTCCTTTCTAATTTTGATCCCTCCTTCCTGGATTTTGACTAAGATTGTGGCCTGTGAAAGATCATTGCTCTGCACTTGGATCCAGTCTCCACATCATTACAATTTCTCTCTTTATAGCAGAAATTGCCTAGCAAAATAGGACACATTTAATAAATACAGTTCATTATATGAGCAGCAGCTATTGTGTATAAACAGGCATGGGGCAGTTAAATTAAACTTGATGGGATAAATGATGCTTTACGGTAAACTTCAGAATTACCTATGATAGCTACCACAGAAGGCCAGAGTGAGCCAGGACTGTAGGATATACTGGACCAAAGACAGGGGACACCCTGGACTGGATGCCAGTCCGAATCAGGGTGCGATCACTAATAATGGACAATTTAGTGACACCAAAACTTAAAGCCACGCTACATTGGTCATACCCTATGTGCGTCACTGCATCTAACAGTAGTAAGCACTGTATTTACTGTTCATTGTATTCATTAGTTTTAAGTTTTCAGCACACAATATTTATTATTATGTTGTATATTTTACCATATTTGTATGTTGTATGTTTGCCTTTTTCCAATATTTGAACCATTTTGCTGCTGTTGGGGGACTTTGCACACAAGTTTTAGATTTGGTGTGACGCCAGATTGACTGACCATATGTTTTGGGTGCAGAAGGTAGTTGGTGTACCAGATGGAAACCTGGGAAACAGTAGGAGAATATAGACACGATGCAGCTCATGGACGGTGACTTGGTGGCACCTCACATCTCCTGGGTCAGAGGGCTCTGCGTTTGTCATGGCAGTCTGGTTCCATCTTCTGGAAATCCAGCAGTGACGTCTCTTTCTGAGGGGTGCAGAGTGCGGCTCACCGGACAGTGTTTCTGCATCCGGGCCTCGGGGACCCCTAGACGGTTCAAGTGGGAGGGAGCAAAAATGTTGACTGTCTGGCAGAGAGCTCAGAGGGGGGCAAACATGGACCGTGTGAGCAGGTTAAGGAATATTGAGTTAAGACACTTTGTCTGTGAGCAGAAGGTCGCCGGCAGACTGGTTCCCTCCACCGCACGACGGTTGGCCCTGTGCTTCAACTCCCAGGTTTCCTCTCACCTGTGTACGTGCCTGTGTGTCTCATGCAGGGCAGGAGAAAAGAGAATTTCCCCATGAGGATGAATAAAGCATCACTATTCTATTCACACACAAAGCAGCGGAGCGAGTTAAACTGCCGA